GAAAGGAAATAAAACAGTAAACAGCCAAAGGACGTAACTTAGAATGGGAGATGGATTAGTTTGTGAAAGGGAAGAAAAAAGCCATAGATGAAGTCGCACAGACTTGCCTTCAGGTGCTGGTCATTCAAAAAAAAAAAATCGCAATTAGATTATTTTCCAAAATCGTTCAGCCCTAATGCACGCTGCAAAGTTTCAAGAACGACATATGCATATTTCTGCGGGATTCCCTCTTGAAATAGCAATGATTAACATAGTGATAACCATAACAATGGACAGGGCAAAATATATGTCAAAATGTGCATTAAAGGGTTAGTTCACCCAAAAATGAAAATTAGCCTGTGTCTAATTTTCATTTTTGGGTGAACTAACCCTTTAAGACTAGAGCACCCTCACTAAGTACAGAAGCACCCTCTGTGATTTAATTCTGGAAGTGCACAAAGAAAATGGATTTCTCTACCAGCAGCAGCAGATGAGTTTTTGTTTTACTAAATGAAAAAAAGGAAAAGAAAAAGATGGTGTTATTGGGTACACCTAGGGCTGGACAATAATTCAATATCAATATGTATCGCGATATAATTTTTTTCAATAACGGTGATATGATTTTTAAACACATTTCCGATATTTCGATATACATTACCAGTGTTGTTGTATAAAATTGATCAAAAGTGATGATAAAGGCATTTATAATGTTACAAAAGATTTCTATTTCAGATAAATAGTGTTCATATCGATATCGGAATTATATCGTATCGACCGAAATTAAGAAATATATCGTGATATCAATTTTGGCCATATCGTCCAGCCCTAGGTACACCCTATTCTTGAGAAAAGAGAAAAGCATGGGGAGTTCCACAGATTGATGGTGAGTGCATTATCATTCTATTTGCCTTGTTAGAAAAAGAAACAAAGAATGTTGCATTTTTATGAATAGTGTTATATAATATTTTTCTTCTGTTTTTACACTTCAGTTTATGTCATTACAATGATTTTCAAAACCATTTTCTGTGCTATAGGGCTAACTATCTCACTCTTTTGTGCAACAGCAGCACCTCCGGGGGTGTGATCTAATTCTGCCTTCACGTGCTATCGGAATTATCGTAAATACGAGTTTATTATTCGGAAATTGGACATGAATGGCCTCTCAAGTTGTATTTACAACTGAGAAACTTGAAGAAAATTTTGATATCCAAGTTTCCAAGTTGGGCAGGCCATAAATTTTAAACATGGCGGAGGAGAGAAACATATTTGCTTTTATTCGCTTTTCCCACAACATCTACATTGATAAGTTAAAGTCATGAATATTTGCATATATAAATAACCATTTTATGCATATTGTATTATTGAACACAGCAAAAAAAAAAAAAAA